GGAGGCCTTCAATGAGATGGATTGACACGGTGGCTGCGATGATGGGCTCAAGTATAGCAGGGATTGTGGGGCTGGCACGGGATCGGGCAGTGTTTCATTCTGCTGTGCATGCGGTCGCTGAGTCGGAAACGACTCGACGACACTTAACAACAACAACAACAGTAGAAGAAACTGAATGAAAACAGTAAATAAGGAGACAAATACAGCTGTGGACTGTCAACTGGCCTGATGGTGTGGCCATTTTAAATATTTGCAAGTGTGTTCTGATCAGAGCAGAAGCCTGATAATAGGTTCTACTTGCCAAGAATTGCATGGGCAACCACAATGGTAGCAGCTGGCGACCAAAAAGGTACAATATTCCCCTTGTTCCCCTTGTTGGGTTTTGTTGTTTTGTTGTTGTTGTTGTTGTTTTTTGTCCCACTTGATGGGAGACAATAACTGTGCCACACTACCCAGCCACATCTGTACCTCTTGCAGCCCACCCACTGGACAAGGGCCACCACTTGATTCTGCACCAATTGATCAATGATAGATGGCAGCCAATACCAGCCTGACCCACCCTCAGTTGTTCACCTGGTGAACAGAGGTGTGGCCACCCCTCACCCGAATCCACCTACTGAACCAGCAGCAATTCCATCCTGGACCAGGTACCATGCCACCAGCTGCCTTCTGGGCAGGTAGGAATGGTTCCAGAACTAGGCACCCTGCTCCCAGTCACCTTTTGGGCAAGTAGGAACTTCTTTAGTGACATGTCACCCTATACCCAGACTGCAAAAACGGCAAGGAGGCCACATGTTCTGACCTCCTCTAATCCCACAAGAGGAAGACAGAATCACCATCAATAGCCCGAGGCCTATTCCAGCCAGGCCAGACATGCTGCCTCCCTCCAGTCCTTTCTCCAACCATTCCTCCCAAAGCACCCACCACCTCTCTCCTGGGTTCGATAATTCGCTGCAGTGGCCACACAGAATTCAGAGATTATGGGGTTTATTAGGGAAGCACCACAGGCTACAATTCAAGTTCAGGAAAAATGCTCAATATCTCTCCCAGCCCACCGTCCCTCAGCCAACAATCTCTCACAGTCTCTTTCCCAGCAATGCTGGTCCCTCGGTGTCTCACTCAGCAATGCGTGTCTCTTGCGTCTCTTTCCCAGCAACGCTTGTCTCAGGAGCCCGTGTCTCTTTCAGCAGCACGTCTTCCTCAACTAGCAGTCAGAGAGAGTTCTGCCTATAGGAGGCCTCCTTTTGAGCCCAGCAGGGTGGTCAAACTAGCCAATCATAGCATCAGAACTCTAAGCACTTGAGAGAGAGTGGGCACCTCCCAGAACATTGTTTTGTGCCACTCCCAACAGAAATACTCCAGGTGGACAACTTCAGCAATCAGGAGCTCCTCAGTTGCTCGTAGAAAATCCCACCTTGGAGTTTACAAATACTTATGGGTAGAAAAGCCACACTAAGTAATTTACTACACCACACCCAGCCACCTTTTGGGACACCAGGGATAGAAGCCCTGTGCCTAACTGCCTTTGGGGACAGCAGAAACTTTCTGGGACCAGATATCCTGTCCAAAGCTACTTTTGGGGCCAGGAGGAACTCCCTCTGGAGCCAGGCACCTTGGTCAAAGTCACCTTTTGGAATAGTAGCAACTTTTTTTGAATCCAGGCACCCTGCTCCCGAACACCTTGTGGGCATTCGTCTGGAATTCATCTGGGATCAGGTGCCCAGCTCTCAGTTGCCTTCTGGGAACACATGAACTCATTCCAAGACCAGTCACCCTGCTCTAAGCTACTTTTTGAGCTGGCAAGAATTTTTTCTGGGACCAGGCACCCTATACCCAGCTGCTTTTTGGGACAGCAGGAACTTTTTCTGGGTTCTAATTTTCTCTTTCCATTTTTCCCATTCTTTTTTTTTTCTCCCTTCACAATACTTTGATTCTCTTGCTCTCTTTTCTCTTTCTACCCTGACCCAGATTTTGTGTATTTTTTCTTTTTCCTTTTCCTTTTTCTCTTGGTCCTTCTCTTGTCCTATTTTTCCTTTTTTCTTTTGCTTTATTT